GGCTACAATTTGCATCTGGCCCTTGCGGCGTTGCAAAGAACAGGGTGCGCTGTGGGGGTGCGAAGGCGGCCCCCTCCCCGCAACAGCGTGGGGACATACGGGTGCCGGATAAGGTTCCGTTAGGGAAACGCCGCTTTCACAGCCAACGTCCAAAATCTACCCACCCGCCGCCCCAGCATCCCTGGCCATTGGAACCCCACACGCCACGATCCCAGCTCGACTCGGGAAGAGGAGGTGGCGCCAACTCGCTTTCGCAGTGGCACATCACACCGCCACGGCCGGTTACAGCACGCGCCGCAGCCCAGCGCGCCAAATACGCGCGGGCAGCGTAGCCAAATAGAGCCCCCTTATCCCCCAGAATAGTCTATACCTTACCTTCCTCTATGAAGTAAAAATAGAGAGAGAGCAAGCGAGATCTTACATCCAAATCCCACTTCGAAACCCTTCGCCCCTGGTACACATAGAAAGGGGGACATCCAGTAACCTCAAGGCCTTCTCCTTATAAGGAAGTGAAAGCTTGTAGTCCCACTGACNCCCTTCGCAAGCCCCACCCCTTCGCGATGTCCGTCGGTAAAACCTTTGCCCCTCGTGATATACCGTCCGCAGGGTTGTTTGCCGACGCGACATGGCCCCATGAGGCGTGCAAGCCTTGTTTCCGCAGAACCCTGTCGATAAGCCCCCCCCCCCACCAGGGCATCGGAATGCGTGTTGCCTTTCCTCATAATATGCATAACCGTCGTGTTGTCGATACACACATGGAGTGTAATAGGCAGACCCCCCTTGAAAGCGAGCAAGGCCAATCCGACGGCCCTCGCTTCAGCCTGCGCAAAAATATGGGAGGCTTTTTGGGAGCCTGCGATAGGAATGGTCAAGCCGTACCCTACTTGCTAAAAGTGGATCCTATGATCCATCATAATACGTGTATTCTTATCTTGCGTTAGGAAAGTGTCGCAAAGCGTAATTTTGAAACGAAAGACAAGTCACAAGCAAGCAATCACAATGTTATCCACTACTTCCCAGCAGGCCGTCATGAACGTGGAATGGATGACGAGCCTATCAGCTCTCAGAGCGTTCGTCGAACATTGCGCACGGACCCCCTTTTCGTTTGAGTATAGACCAAGTATTAGTACGCAGGTCAATCGCGTCGAGGGCATACTCACACTCAAAGATGGTGAACTGACCATTTGTCTGGAGAATGGAAGAAAGGCCAGTTTTGTTTCTTTGCGACACTCCATGATG